AGACCGTCCCAAACAAGGCAGCAATAGTTGAAATGTGGCTCGATAAGAGCTCTATACAGCAATAAAAGCTGTATGTACACAGATGTACGGTCTAAGCCTTTTAAGTGCACCTATACCAGAGGAGATAGTTCTTGCAATCTCATCGACATGTTTGGACCATGACATATATTGGTCAATGTGAATTCCTAAGGATTTAGTGTCACATACCCTATTGATTACTTGATCTTCCAAAAGAACGTTAAGTGAATAATCAGCGTTATTTGCAAGTCTCTGACGTTAGTTTGTCAGCAATAGCTCGGTTTTAGCAATGTTTAGGCCTACATGACTAAATTAACAATTCGCCAAATGTGAAGGTTAGCAAGTTCTCCAATAATTACACCTTCAAGTTCAGGTAAACTACTGGCGACAAAGCTAATGCTACTTTTAAGTATCATCAGCGTACATCCGCGGAATGGCCAGGCAATTAGGCAAGTCGTTGATTTATATCTGGAAAAGAAGGGGCCCAATAAGGCTTCCCTGAGGAACGCAACAGGTAACGGCCCGCTCCCGAGATTGCTCCCCGCTAACTAGGCAATTTTGTCGGCGATCACTAAGATAAACGTTAAACCACCTAAAGGCCTTATAATCAACTCCATAGTTAACTAACTTTTGTAGTAGGATCGTGTGTTCTATTGTGTCGAAAGCTTTGAAAATTCTTTAAATCTTTAAATATTACATGTACACCATTGATAAAACTATGTTAACAGACCAACTGTTTGTGGCCTCAAGCAAGCTAAAGCCGTGAGTATACTATCGAGTGGTCTAAAGCCGTATTGACACTTAGCTGAAAGATAATTGTCGTTAAGACAACTATATAATTGATTGTATATTATTCTTTCAAAAATCTTGACAACAGCTGGGATAACCGAGATCGGCCGGTAGTTATTAACATCCTTTCTTCCGCCCTTTTTAAAAACTGGCGTAACTTAAAGGGACTGTGACACGCTTCTGCGCATGTGCGGCAACTTGATTTCTTTCCGGCGGACAGTTTTTCAAGATTGGCGTTTTGGTGAAGAAATCCTCTTCCATCGACCCTGAGACGCCCGAGAAAGCCATAATATCAGTATTCAAGAGCTATTTGGTCCATTTGGGAAGTTTTAAACGCTATATTTTGTATTTTTGTGCAAGTATTGTCGAGGAAATTCGAAGCCATTGAGGATAACCGTACGAAGCCATGTTCGTTGTTGTCAGTGTTCATACAAACAGATCAAATGTGGCCTTTAATGTGGTCATCTGGCTTTCATTTCTGTCTATGAATGTTCTTCAGTCAACGATCTACCTTTGACGAATATTTTTTAAATGATAAATATGTAAAGAGAGTTCAAAAGGGTTTCCGCGATACAGCCGTGGACCGCTAATAGGACGCAGCGGCGAGTGAAGCTGATCTGCGACATGACTACAACAATTTAATTTATCGAGTGCCTGGAATCAGAAGGAGAAAACCCAGCAATATTTTGTTGTACAGGAAGTCGTGTGAGGTTTGAGGAAACAATCCATCGAACATGAAACGTTTTAACAGGCATTTGAATTATGACTCCGATCTGTAGAACGTATAGCAGAAAGTTCTAACAACAGGCCGCGCGATCTTTACTGATGTAGTTCACTGGGAATGTTCCTTGCATCTTTTCTGTATGAGCGTAGATGTTTAAGAATTGATCTGTTAAAAATAAATTGTTGCCTCCATGTTCCGTTTAACATCTGCTTTCTTTATGTGTTGAATCGATAATCGGAATTTATTTGCTGATAAGCAACTGAAATTTATGCCATAGTGATGGGCTCCTGTTTATGCCTTTTCTTGCGTTGTTCTTTTAGAATAATCTTTATACTTATACGTTATGTGGCTACCGTGATTGCAATGAAAGCGTTTTACGATGAAGCGCTAAGAATTGCTTTCAAACACTGCTACGATTTTCAGCTGGTATCAATCGACTGACCTGCAGTTGGCAGAATGTTCATCGCGCTAGCCGACCCATGGCATGGCATATTCTATTTTAGCGCGCATTTAGCTGGCATTTTAAGCAAATCGTTTGCATTATCCTATACTGTGTGTTTTGATCACCGGTCAGGAGCTATTTGCAGGTATTTCTAAGTTTATATAAGGTAAACAGAGAGATCAGTAAGGTTTGTTTACAAATTATTTTTGTTTGCGGATCGGAGACTGGTTCTCTAGCTTGGGTACGTAAAAATACAAGTAGGTAAATGTTTGTTTCAAAGCAGGACAGGGTTGTTAATCTTATTCTTATCAGCTGCAACATTTATCTGAGGAATACCAGGGAATAAATATGAATTATGGGGATATATAAAATCGAACAAAAGCGTTCGGAAGACTCCCGCTTCGCGAACAATGAATCTTGAATTATGTAAATTTCCTCGCGTGCATCTTACTCGCTTCCGATTGGTTCAAAGACAGTCAGGTACTGTCACAGCTCACACATGTGCACTATCGTGACACAGTCCCTTTAAGCTAAATTGGAACAATACCGGAAAAGATTGACTGACTAAACTCAAATGTCCGGGATGGAGCAAGAATATCGGCCTCTATTTTAAGAAACCTGAGTGGTAGATTGTCCAGGCCAGTCGCCTTTTTAACTTCTAGCTTTTCGAATCATTTTTAGACTTTATTAGCACTACAACTTTTGAAAGAGAACGTCTTTTCAGTTGGAATAAAATAGTGTTCTGGTTGAGTATCAACATGAGGTATGCCTCTTGCCAAGTAATGTCCAACATTTGTGAAATGACGATTAATATAAGTAGATATGTTCTGGCTCAAGAGAGAGGTTCCTGCTCTGTTCAAATGTAGGCGGCTCCGAATTAAATGCTTTTCTGCGACGATGTTGTTATTATCGACAAAGCCCCAGTCGTTTTGTCGGCAGAACTTTCTTAGTGTATTGTTGACTTCAGTAGCTCTTTTTGATAGCTCAGAGTCATCTGCCCGAGCGGTTAGACTAGAAATGGCTACCGAAATACCTTCTTGCTCAACTTCTCG